CTTTTTTTGGTATCTTCTATAACTATGTCTACTAAGTTAATTGTACTATCTGTTGAGCAGCCAGGCAGCCTGGTAAAGTTTGAGCCTTTGAGCACTTTTTTTTCTACTAGTATGCTTGTGATTTGCTGTGTAACTACATGTATTAGACATTTTCTGAAGGTTTCTAGTAATGCAATTGGCCTAATATTGTTCAGCTAATATCCTCAGTTTTTGTTTTTTGGAATTGGATATATCTGTACCAATTTCTATTTTTGTAGAATTATGCTATTATTTAAACACAAGCTTGCGAGCTTTACAAAAATCTCTTGCACATTACTGCTTACATTTTTAATAAGTGTATATCCTATTCTTATTACTCCAGGTGCTGTTTTGTTACTAGCCTTACTCAAAGCAATGGACTACTTGTCGATTGATATCTTATCTAACAAATGACTAAACCATTTCTCACTTACTTCATCTAATAGTTTATAAAATTCATTTATAATCTCTACCTTGAGTTTAACATTTCTCTCTTTGAATTGACTCTAAAAATGTTCTTTGGTCTTTTCTAGCATTTCATCAGGCTCATTGTATAATGTTCTTTCATCATTAGTTTGCTTGAGAACTTTGTCAATATTAATTTTTTTATAGGATTTTTCTAATATACTTGCTAACATTCTCCCGATATCACTATTTATTCTTTCAAACCTTTTGTTTACTGCCTTTTTAATTTCAGTACGAGTACTACTGTTCTCTGCTGCTCTCTCAAGTGCATGCATTGCTTTCCAACTCTGCTTTTCTGCTATTAACCATACCTGCAATGACATGCTATTGCTATTTAATTTATCTAACGACATCATATATATATTGTTAATGTGTTCTACTACATTATTAACTTTCTTTATCTCTGCTTCATCAACCTCATATATATTATTTTTCTTTTTAAATACCTGGATTACTTTGCTTAGCTTTATAGCGTCATTATATATTTTTGTCTCTTTTCTTCTGTATTTGGTCTCAGAACCAAGGTTGTATACTTGCTTCTTGGAATTGTCTTGTTTGTCGCTCTCTTAATTGCATTTGTGATTATATTCTACAACTCATTTATATATTGTTCAGGGCTCTTAAATCTTGGATGCTTGACTACATTGCTGTTTAGAAGTAAACTGTTAATCTGTTCTTTATAATTATTCCAGTTCTCTTTAGTTGCTTTGTTGTAAAGGAAAACCGTTTTGGCTACTCTGGTTTTTCTTGTTTTGGCCAAACTTCTTATCTTTATAAGATGCTTTAATATAATATCAGCTATAATGATACTGTGATCACTCACTGTTATAACCTTCACCTCTATAATCTCTGCTTTTATTGTATCATAAACCAGATCTTCTAATACCCAAATCTGGTCTATTCGAGATTTAATACCTTTGCCAGACTACATATATATTCTTGCGCATGGGTTTAGTGCTTTAAATATATCTGTGAAACCCTGATTTCTAAACTATTTATAGAGTGGCAATAACTTGTATGCTATGTGTCTATCGCCCCTACTCTTGTCTAGCATGGGTCTATTACTCTATTGAAATCACCTATTACTATAAAGTGTACTTTGCTAGATCTCTCTATATACTTGATAATAATTGTTCTCTGGAGCACCTTCTCTAACTCCCTATTACTTAGCAGAAAATATACTACTATTACTATAATTTCAGTTTGTCTAAAATAGAATCTAGCTTCTATTATGTATTCTTCTACTTTTGCAACTTGTCCAAGATACTTTTTCCACTTTGCGTCTACAATTAGCCCAACCCCTAAACCTTTCTTTTTTGTGATCATGCTTTGTATCCAAAAATCTTTTTTGCTATTACTCAACTCGCTAAATCTTAATTCTTTCTCATTTGTATTTGTTTCAACTAGCCCTAGTATATTAATTTCATTCTCTGACATCCACTCATCTATCATTTTATACTTTGTCTTATTCTTCTTAATTTCATTAATGTTGTGACATGCTATATTTAATCTAATATCCCTTTTCTATATTATAAGGCTTGACTTTGAATTAGCTTTGCTATTCTGAAGCTGGATCCTTCTTGTACAACTTGATGTTGAGCAGCCTCTTTCCTTTTTTACAATGCCTGTGGCAACTTTCAGGAGCGGTTGGGGATGTTAACCCCCTGTTGTCTTTCCTCAATCTTAGCAAGCCTCTTCATAATTTTTTCTAATATACTACCAAGTTTTTCGATGACTGCTTGATTACTAGAGCTCCTCACATTTTTTGTAGTCTCTCTTGCATTGTTTAATGACCCTTCATTACTTGTTTCTTTTAGGTTCTTCTTGTTTGCTTTTCTTTTTTCTTTGAATTCGAACTGAGTTTCAATTTTGAGCTTCCATTTACGATCTTTAACTACTTCATTTATTTTTTCCTTATCGAGTTCATTTGAGCCAAAGGTATGCTTTCTAGAGTTTTCTCTTTCATCTAGAGGATGTCTCTCTTTTACCAGGTCTTGTTCTCTTCTCTCCCTAGACCTCTTCTACTTTTTATCACTTCTACTTAGCCATTTAAGCTTTGTATTATAGTAAAAGGTATCTCTTTCTTGAGCTAACTCTAGCTCTTCTCTTGATTCAAAGTACACTGATGCTATGTGTTTTTGATTTCAGTTATTATTATATAAGATATAAACTGCTTTTGCACTACTTCTTTTAGCTATCTTAACAATAGTACTTCTATTGCTAATGTTGAGACATTTTTAACTACCTCCTTGAATCTTGTTCTACTTTCTAATATTTCTTTAGCAAAAGCACCAGGTGTTACTCTTAATATTTTCCCTTCTACAAAATATACTGCCCATGCAGCTTGAAAGGCCAACTTGCATCTTGTATTGTAGTATTTAATCGTAAAAGAAACTGCTTTGTTCTTCCCTTGTAGCTTCTATTTTAAAATGCTTATTTTGTTATAGAAGTGTAAACATTTTCTTATTGTTTGCGACTGCATGTACAATGGTATATCCCATAGTATAAATAGCTCAGCCTGGTTGGCTTCATTTGTATTTGCTCTTATTGGTATTTCTTTCTGTTTATTACTTTTACTAAGCCTTTGTGTATTTTCTACAACTTCAGTGCTTATTAACACAGGTGTAACAATTAACATCTTTTCTAACTCTTGTACTAGCTCTTCTGTCATATCATTTTTTAATTCTTGGCTAGAGGGCTTCTTTTTGTCTTCTACACTCAAATCTGACTCTGTATTACTTCTCTCGGTCATTGGTGTATATAGTAACTCTTCACTATTGACTTCTTTTATATTATAATCGACTACCCCACTCTCATACTCTGTTAGCTTTTCTTTAATCTGTTCATCAAGGCTTGACTTTGCTGCACTCTTGTTAACTCTACCTCTCTGTCTTTACTTTTCAGATACTTGCTATAGTTATATAGCTTTATTATTTTTCCAAATATACTTATTGTTTTGAGTGCAGCTCTGGTTAATGCTACTATTTTCCTATCTTTCCATAGCACTAGATGTGTATGTTCTTGTCTTGCTACATTCCACTCTTTAGAAAATTTTGTAAAAAAATCTTTGTACTCTTCTAATTTGCTAAACCAGTTTAACTCTGCTATCATGGTTAGTTTATCACATGTCATCATCCTGCGTTATGCCTGTTTGGTTCTAGATAATATCTTGTTTCAGATACCAGTTACACATATACTATTTCAGTTACTATTTGTTTGGTACTGTGTTGACATATTTGTTTACTTTGTGTAATATACAAGAATCTGTAGACTGGGGTAAGCCCGTTTCCCACTTTTTTCACAGAAATGAAAATTTTTTGTCTAAAAGGCTATTTTGAAGATAATCTATACTACTTGCTATAGATTATTAAAAATTGTTCTAATAAAAATTATTGTATCTTTTTTGTATTACAACTTTAGTTAGATGCAAACTCCTTTAGCTTAGTTATTTAGCCAGTTTTCTTTGATTTTCTTTCTTCAGAATTTGGTCACAGTAATCAATAGAAAGAGTTTAATAATTAGTTAATAATATTAAAAACATATAATAATATTTTATAAATTTAAATTAAAAAAAGATCAAATTAATTTAAGATAATTTAATTTAATTCAAAATGTTTCAAATTTATTAGAATGATTAGTTAAATGTATTGTGTAAGATAAATAGAAAAATTATAGTGATTGCTAGTTTATTATATTATATTAATTAAAATTAATTAAAATATATAAATCTATCAAATATAAATAAGTGTTAATAATATTAAAAACATATAATATTATTTTATAAATTTAAATTAAAAAGTAATTGAATTAATTTAGAATAATTTAATTTAATTCACAATAGTTTGAAATATTTTAGAATGATAAGTTAAGTGTATCATGTAAGATAAATAGAAAAATTATAGTGATTGCTAGTTTATTATATTAAATCAATTAAAATTAATTGAAATACATAATTCTATCGAATATAAATAAGTGTTAATAATATTAAAAACATATAATAATATTTTATAAATTTAAATTAAAAAGTGATCGAGTTAATTTAGAATAATTTAATTTAATTTACAATAGTTTGAATTATTTAAATAATGTAATTTACTAAAAATATTTTGTATATTATATTTAATAACAATAATTTCATGATATTTTAATTTTATTTGAAATAAATTTAATTACTATAACTTATATTAATATACTATAATTTAAATAAATATAGAGGCTCTTTAAATATTTTTAATATATTTAAATGAAATTGAATCATTTAAAATAATTATTTATCCCAATTTGCATTAAAGATAAATGTTTTCTTGAATTAGGATAATTTAATTTCCTTACATATCAATTACTTTAGTATGTATAAAATTTGTTTATTTAAAATTCCAATTATATAAAAATTTAGATTTCTTCTTCATAACAATAGATAATTTATATTATGCATGATTTGATAAATTTACTTTATATAGTATCAATTGTTTTCAAAGTGGATTAATTTATTTTGTATAACTAAATATAGTAATA